TCTAAACCATGCATTAAGTAAATTTGAGGGTTTGATTTACTATATTTCCAATCGAACTATTGCTATGGACTATTATTACTCCATTTTTTCAAGTTTCGTTTTCTTTCAGATACTCTGATCTTTTATCCCTTTTCATGCCGTTGTAATTCTTAGAGATGACTAGTTTAAGATATATAAAAACATTTTTGGGTCGTCTTACTCAACAATTTAGTTTACGTAATATTTAATTATTTTGTTGATTTGATTTATGAAAATAGTCTTACTCCATTATACTATAAATAAGATGTAATCCAATCTTACATTATTAAAGGAAACTTTCAAGTGTGTGTGTGTGTAATCGTTAGATCAAATTTGTGTGTACGATTGAATGGTTCTTGGTAAAAAATTCGAACCCTAATATCCATATTTATCTTTTAATTAAAATCAATTTTTTTATTTGTTGATTTAGGTTAATTAAACCCGACCACAATAAATACAATACGTGATCTTTCTAGGGTTTTGGCCTAATTTTTTTACTACACGAGTTTTTTCCTAGAAGGTTAAATTAAGTAATAGCCGTTTATTTTAGATAGGTAAAAAGGAAAACGGTCTGAGTTTTAATATATACAATTCGGAGGAGATCACCATTTGATTAGTTTTTAGAGAAATTAATCAATCTTTAAAGCCTTACGAGTATACAGAGAAAACATTATATATATATTATCATATTGCAATCGATCGAGTTTGTGGAATTTTAATTAATTGATTTCTTGTTTTTCATTATTTTGTTGAGGGTTTTTCTCCCTTTATGTCCCTCTTTCTTTTGTAACTATTATTCCCTCACATCCTAGTATACAGTGAAAGTGCTCAAGTGGAGATTGATTTGGAAGGTCTCTCTCTTCTTCTTCTTTATTTCTTCCCCTTTGAACTTTTTCTTATTCCAAACCCAAATCTAAAGCCATGAAGAAATATAGCATATATTGACCCTTTTATCCCCTTCACAATACAGTTTCTCCTGAACTTCCACAAAAAGAGTGGCCATAAACGTCTTTGTGCGATTAGAGGGATATTCCCCTCCCTTTAGAGGTCATGCGTGGCCTAAACATGGAAGTTCATGGGCGCGGCAACCATGCAAAATATATCCAGATAACCCTTTAGTCGTGTGAGATACATAGGACCCATCTATAATTTGAACTTTCCGAAAAAATTATACTTCACATATAATATTGCACAGCGTAGCGTTGAGCCGTTAAGCAAATCCTTTGGAATCCTATGTGTTTTCTTTTGATCTACAATTCTTTCTTTTTTTTTAATCAATTTGGCTTTAGGGTGAGATTCAATTTTCTTTTATCTTTTGGGATAAGATGAGATTTATTCTTCATTGATTCACCTTTAAGCCAAAAAAGCTACAGGATGATGCAGTCTAGACACAATACATGGCTAAATTACAAAGAAAGCTATAAGAAATTGGCTAGCTAAACTATAAGATCAAAATAGCTAGCCAGCCTTTACATAGACAGACACCATCTTGGACATTTGCAAGAAATACTCCCAGAGACTGAACGAGTGAGGCCGTCACAAGTCATCCATAACAGATATATAATATATTGCAAATTGTTACTAATATAGCCAGTCATTTGTGGACAATTAAAAGTGGAATTAGGTCGAGTCTCTGTACTTACCAAACTCCAGGTCAATTGAAGAATATACGCCTCATATTATTTATATAGTAGCGAATCGGAGGCACTAAAGCTAATTTGTCTTCGAATGCAGAAAATTCTTGCTTTTTTAATTCTGGAATAATTGAATATATATATATATATATATAATCCCAGTTGTGTTAGAATTTTCTTGCTCCACGTTGTGGCAACTGATGCTGGAAGGAATCCCAGAATTTAGTGAAACCGTGTCTTCGATAGGAGTAAGGTGGTCAGCTATCTATTGGTGTGACATTTCTCCTACCATTTCTCAACACAAATCTCAATTCTATCTTTTTGATACTCGTCTAGCTATAAATATTTCAACATGTAGTGGTAGAAATACTACACTAGATTAGCTGTCACCTACAGCAAGACACAAAAGCCAATTAGCTTTATATATTAATTAAGACTTAATTAGACATCTAGAGTTTGAGTTGAACCCAGATTTTCCACGATCAGTAGATATGTATATGAGGTAGGAAATGATGACCTTTTCAAGAATATTATAATTAATAATTCACATCAAGTTATGATGCTCATCCAGTTGTAGTCTTTCATGTTACTTCTTGTAAAATATCTCATAAGAATTTGAGTTTCTTATCCTTTGTGCATGCAGAGAGGCGCATATTGATCAGTGGGAAAGAAGAATAGCCCTTTTGTGGGCCATTCCTTTTCTTCACGGGTTCTTCTATTGCCAGATTCTCTCATGCAGGTTTACCTTTCCTTTCTCCCAAGGGCACAATGAAAGGCATAATTGCATTAGCGCATCAATAGATGGATGTATTGGCAATGTCCTCCCTCAAGATCTTATTGTCACTTCCCTCCTGCTTGTCGCCTTGTTGTCAAGAGTACTAACTACATCACGCACCCATTAATTGTGTATTGAAACTAAAGGCAAAGCTTAGCACAGAATGCCAGCTTTATCGTGTTTTTGCCCTAAATTTGACTCTTTACATCATCAAAACTGAAGCACAAATATTCACAACCAAGCTCCACCAAACCCTAAACCATGTCAATCCATTAATGAAAGCGTCATTTGCTTTCCTTTTGTATGGTTTCTATTTTCCGTATCTGTTTTCAATTTTTTGTGGGAAAGAAAAACAAAACCAGCAATCGCCATCACAGTTTTTTGAAAACCAATTTGTTTTTTTTTACATCAAGAAAAGAAGAAAAGAGACGATGCTAAACATAACAAAAGGCAGCTTCGGCTTATATATAGAGCTTGCCAATTCAAGGTCTGGGCCGGGGTCAAGAAGGGCACCATTTTAGCCACCTATACGGGTCAAATAGCCTAGGCACCATGCAAAATATTGATGTCATTATTAAATTCGAGGAGACTTGAAGCTGCAAATTAAGCAAGATGCATGTCTCAACAACTAGTCAACAACCCTACTCTAAAACCTCATTTGATCGAAAGAAACTCTCCTCCCTTGAGCCCTGCCTGCAAACCATTACGTCTCCAGATGGTCTATCATGCATGTGACTCAACCCTTCAACCTCGTATCTCTTAATTACTTAATTCCATTATTATTTTTTTAAAAAAAAACCCTTTAATTCACAGTCAAACATTCATCATAAACGAGGACATAAATCTGAATACACAATGTTTGTTCTTGTCAAAGATTTAAGGGTGATACGCAATTTTCAGACAGACAGAATCAGGAAACCCCCAAGTCATTACATTATCACCCCACCCCCCCCCATACCGAAAATTC